CCAGCTACAGGAGGAAGGATGGGGGGGGGGGCGGTGTGGCGGGAGGAGGTACTGGCAGCCAGACAGGAACCCACAGGCCACATGTTAACCCCTCATGAGCTGCCAGTTGGACAGCCCTGTCCTATAGGAAATTCTCAACTTTCCCAACAAATAAAACAGATATCTGTTGATGATCAGACCAAAATGATGTATTACTATGAAATTCAAAACACATTAAAAGAAGTCAGGACACAGGCATCTAAAATTGGGCATCCAAAGTCAGTGCGCACTTATTATGTTCATTTCTTACCGTTTCAGTTCCCAATCTGTACAACAGGAATAATACCATCCCTTCATCTTACAGGGCTATCATGGAAATAAACGCATTAGTTGTGAAGCCCTTGGATACCACAGTGTTGCCACTGCAGAAAAGCCCATGAGGAGATTTAATTGGATATAGAACTATTAAGGTTGTGCAGCAAAAGGTCTGGGCCTGAAAACTAGGATAGAACATGCTGGCACTGTGAAACATACATTTACACTGGTGTAGACCAGCAGACTAGTGCATAAATCTGGTGTAGACAGACACACTGCATAACTCTTACTAGAATCCATGAAATATCAAATGTAAAACTACACCAGTGTCACTGTTGTCTAGTCCTTTCCATTCTAGGGTAACCATTTGCTCAATATAAATAAACGATTACCAACTCCTTTACCATGTAGTAGTAATCAATGGGATGGCATCACCCTGGAGGCCCGTTTCCAGTGGTGTCCCCCAGGTACCGGTGCTTGGACGCGGGGGTAGAAAGTTCAATGGTTACATTCACGGACAATACCAAGCTATGGGGAAATGTGGGCATACCAGAAGATGGGGAAAAGATTCAGGATGACCTTGACAGACTGGATTCATGGGCAGAACGAAATCAGATGAGGTTTGACAATGAGAAGTGCAAAGTCCTTCAGCTGGGTAGGAAGAACCCTCAACATAACTACACAATGGGTGGTGGTCCATTGGCTAGAACACCATTTGAATGAGAACCAGAGTCATGATCGACCGGAAGATTAGTGAGCCAAAGGTGTGATGAGGTTTCCAGAAGGGCATATAGAACTGTGGCATGCATCAGCCGACACGTGGCCAACAGATCCAGGGAGGAGCTCCTTCCTCTCTATTCAGTGTTGGTGAGGCCTCAGCTGGAGTACTGTGTCCAGTTCTGGGCACTGCACTTCAAAAAGGATGTGGATAAGCTTGAGAGGGTACAAAGAATGGTCAAGGGCATGGAAGGCAAGCCCTATGACAACACGTTCTGGGAACTGGGCCTATTCAGTCTGAGTAAGAGAAGGCCGAGAGGCAACTTAATAGTTACCTACAAGTACGTCAGGGTAAGCACAAAGAACTAGGGGAGCAACTCTTCAGGAAGGCACCTCAAGGGAGGATGAAGACCAATGGGCATAAACTAACAGAGGGTAAATTCAGGCTGGACATAAGAAATAACTTTTTCAATATATGGGTCACCAGAATCTGGAACATACTTCCAGCAGAGGTGGTGCAGTCACTCTCCTGGGGGTGTTCAAGACGATGCTGGACAGGCACCTTGTCGAGCCTGTCTGAGCCCAACAACTTCCTGCCCATGGCAGGGGACCAGA